GCTCCTTCTTTCCCTCCTTCTCTCTCTTGTTCTACCACTTATTTTTTCTTTTCCCACCCTTCCTCATTTCTCTTCCTCCCTTCCTTTTCAGTCTCAAGCTGGCTTCAAACTTGCTGTGTAATCGAAATGGTCTTAAACTCCCGATCCCCCGCTTCTACCTTCCCAGCGCTGGTGTCATGGATGTGTACCTGCACCCCTGTTTGTGCAGTACCAGGATGGAACCCAGGACTCTACGTGATAGGCAAATGCTGTACCAGAGAGCCACAGCTCAGCCAGAAGGGAGGTAGGGTGAGCTTTCGGTGTGGCAGGACAGGGCAGATGGGCTGTGGGAGGCTGTGCTCAGTGGGGAGGGAGAATAGCCTGGTGCCAGAACTTGGGTAGCGGGGCCCCGGTGGGTGGGGTGGGGTGGGGCCTGTCCTTTAGGGTGCCCCCCCTAGACCTGCCTAGCCTGTTGGTGGGTCCTGGGCAGAGGTGAGTTCACAGTGTCGTGTGTATTGTGCTCCCTGCCATCATCCAGAGGGTAGTGTCTTTGCTTCAACCAGTGGAAAAGACAAGAATGTATTTACCTCTCGTGCTTGCCTGGTTTCAATGACACGGCTTCCATTCAGCATCCAGGAACTGACCCTGAGGACAGGATGCTCTGGAAGCCTGTCCTTGGAACCAGTAGGCACATGAGGACAAGACTGTCTGCATCTCTTGGCTTGCCTGCTCTACCCTAACACAAAGCGGGACATGAGGCCCACTTGAGTCACTCACTACACAAGGTCACTCTCTAGTACAGTTGAGGAGAGCAGAGGTGAGCACAGTTGTCTTCCTTCCTTTACTCATGCACCAAGCACTGAACATCCATTCATGCATTCATGGAGTGCTGTAGCCTCTATCTGATAAGCGAGAGGCCCTGCCACGGGGATGCTGGGCTCTGTCCACTGTCCCACCTACCCTGTGTGCCCTTCTGCATTTCTGAAAGGAGGAAGGATTTTCATTTCTCTTTCTTTGATCAGTTGGTGTCAAAAATACTCCATGACACCAGGGAGCCCTCAGGGACACTGGAGAGGTCCCGGGTGCTGATTCCACCAGCTGGACCAAGTCCTATGCACATGCTGCTATACATGTGAATATGTGCATATATTATACATGTGCGGGTATGCCTGTGTTTGTGTGCACACAGATTTACATGCATGTTATGTATGTGGAAGTGTGTGCTTGTGTACATACTTGCATATGTGTATTAGGTACTTATAGGTTAAAAAACTAAGCCTATTTTCTGGCTGACATAGGGATGTTTGGTGATTCCCAGGAATAGAAGGGGCTGGAGGAGGAATCTGTTGGCTTGGTCATAGATGCACAGACACAGCTCCAGAGTGTGACTCTTCCTCTTCCTGTGTGACTACTCCTCTTCCTGTGTAACTCCTCTTCCTATGTGACTCCTCCTCTTTCTGTGTGACTCCTCCTCTTCCTGTGTGACTCCTCCTCTTCCTTTGTGACCCTTCAGCCAATGCTTTATCTTTCAAAACTTCAGTTCTTTGGGGGGAAAAATTGAGCTGGGCATAGTGGTGCACACCTTTAATCCCAGCACTCAGGAGGCAGAGGCAGGCAGATCTCTGTGAGATCTAGGCCAGCTTGGTCTACAGAGCAAGTTTCAGGATAGCTAGGGCTACGCAGAGAAACCCTGACTGGAAAAACAAAAACAACTAAACAAACAAAAAAATACCCAACCCAAAACCAAGCCAACAACAACAACAAAACCATAATTAAAACAAACAAACAAAGCCAGGTTTGGTAGTGCTTGGCTTTAATTCCAGCAATAAGGAAGCAGGGGGGGGGGGAGGTCCTTGAGAGTCTAAGGCCGGCGAGGCAGCTACATAGTGAGACCCTGTCTCAAAAGCAAATGAATAAATTAGTTAAAATTATGAAGTGGGGAGGAGACGGCTCAGTGGTTAAGAGTGTGTATTGCTCTTAAAGAGGACCCAAGTTTCCTTCCTAGCATGCTTGTCTAGTGACTCACAACTGCATGTAACTCCAGCTCGAGGTGATCTGGGACCTCTGACTTCAGGCTCCTGCAGTCATGTACACACACACACACACACACACACACACACACACACACACACACACGTAATTCAAGATAAGGAGGTAAATCTTTAAAAATAGAACAAAATCAGGAAACAAATTCAATAGAATATATGTGACTTGCACTTTGAAAATTATGTAGTATTGCCAGGTAGTGGTGGCACATGCCACTCAGGAGGGAGTGGTGGGTGGACCTCTGTGAGTTCAAAGCTGAGTTCTAGGACATTTAGAGCTATTATACAGAGAAACCCTGTCTTGAAAAAAAGAGAAAGAAAGAAAGAAAAGAAAAATTTTACAGATAGTTCTTCCCCGCCAGCCTGGTCCCACAACCTCATCAGCCCCAAATGAACACTCAGAGGCTTATATTAATTATAATACTGTTGACCTCTGGCTAGGGCTTCTTATTGGCTAGCTCTGTCTTAATTTCTATTAATCTAAGTATTTCAACATGGTCTTCTCTTACCCGATAATGCCTCACTCCCATCCTCTCATCCTGGGATCACATGGTGACTGCAACTCTGCCTGTACTTCCAGAATCCTCCTTATCTCCTAGGCCCACTTATCATGCTGCCCTATTGGCCACAGTGTTTTATTCATTAACCAATAAGACAAACATATTTACAGAATGACATCTCCCATCAGAAAAAGAAAATCATGTAGTATTAAAGAGAGTTTATGATGAAGTATACCATGTTCATGGATTGGGAAACTTACAAAGATGGCAACTGTCCTCCAATTGAACCATTATTTACATACAATGCCAAACAAAATGCCAGTAGAATTTTTGAAAAAAAATTGGCAGTATATTTTTAATATTTATATGGAAAAGCTAAGGATCTGGAATAATTGTTAAAAAATCTTGACAAATAATAAGGTTAGAGCTGTATGTGACCTAACTTCAGGATTTACCATAAAACTACAATAACCCAGTCAGAGTGTTTTTGGTCAAGGTTTGCAATATAAATCAATGAAGGGAAACAGATAATCCAAAAGTGGACCCGTTACTTGTCTATATATGCATCCTGCATGTTGGTGGGTGGGCCTGGGTATGTATCTCAGTGGTCGAGTTTAGATGTAAGAGATTCTGAATTCAATGCCCACAAACTCTAGAGATGTTTATCTTTTAACTGGTTGATGGTAACCTAGTGTCTAAATGTACAAGATGGAGGAATGAGCCAGGCTCTGGTCTACAACTGAGTAGTCTTTGGCAAGTCATTTTCTCTGCCTTGTAGTTGTCGCCCCTGCAGAGCAGAGATGAACACCTAGCTTACGATGCCACATGGCAGTGCAGTGAGGTCATGTTGAGTGGCTTGCCTCTGCCTTCTGAGCAACTGAGCACTGGATTGCAGGCACACACCACCACACCTAGCCGTGTGTGTGCATGGCAGGGGGCTGTAAAACCGATTATCATGGTGATGGGATCATTCACTATAACATGGGCATTTGCAAACAAAGAACCTCAGTGGACAAAGGCAGCAGTGTGGAGACTCCCCAAGGTCCAGAACCAGGCTGGGTTCAGGGCAGCTGGTGTTTGAGTCTTCCCAATGAAGATGCTTTGGGGGCTGATGAAATGGTTCAGTGGGTAAAGGTACCTGCTGCCAAGACTGACAAGCTGAGTTTGATGGACTTCTGCAGACTGTCTTCTGATTTCCTCAAGCACACCGTAACATGAGTGCATCTCCTCATAAAAATCAATGTACACTTTTTAAAAACTACCATCTCAAGATGAGGGAGTACCACCAATTTACTGAGAAGATGAACCAGCAAGCCCCATGGGTCCTCCTGTCTCTACCTCCCCAATGCTAGGATGGTGGGCGGGCTGTCAGGCTGCCAGGCTTTTTACCTGGGCTCTTGGGATTCAAACTACATGCCAAGCACCTTAAGCCATCTCCCCAGACCCCTCTCTTCTTGCTTTTTCCGACACCCATGGTACCTAAGGTGACTTGTCTTCATTTCTCACTGGCTGCTCAGGCTAACTCTTGTGGCTAAGATTCAGCCCAGGTGCCTAGCCATTTTTGGATGTGGCTCTCTAGAGAACTTTGTAGCCTGGGTGTCACAAGAAGCCTTTAGATTCTGCACCTTCGTCTCTTTCCAGGCTTTTCCAAAGCCAGTCAGCTGTGCTGGGGAATGTTTGATGTGGTGTTGTCACCATACACAGGAGTTTCAAGTGAAAGGGGTGGCAACATGCTCTCAAATATATCAAAGTAAACGTGGCTTGGGTACTGTCTGCCCCAGGGGGCACTTTGGTGTTCCTGTTTTTTGCTGGAGGAAAGAGGGGATCCATGCCCACAGAGAAGCAGGCTCTTTGGAAAAGGTGAACTTCCACCAAACTTAGAAAATACAAAAGTTGGGGGTGTGTGAAGAGATGCCCCAGTGGTTAAGAGCTTAAGAGTGCCTGCTGCTTGTGCAAAGGACCAAGTTTGGTTCTTCGGACCCACATCTGATGGATCACAATGTCCTGTAACTCCGGCACCAGGAGATTCACTGCTCCAGAGATCTGTGGGCACCTGCACTCATGTGTGTAGCCCCCACCCCAGCATGTGCGTGTGAGTGTGTGTGTGTGTGTGTGTGTGTGTGTGTGTGTGTGTTCATTCGTATATGTGTATGGCATAAAACATTGTTTAAAGGAAACCACCAAAGTTGGGCTAGGCATGAGCACACATGCACACAGGCAGAGACAAATAAAAGACTAATGTAACTTCTTTTAATTGTCATTTTATGTTCTCTGCAGCTGCCCCCACCCTCCCCTTCCCTTGGATGACCACTTTTGATGGCTGTAGGGGACTAGGGAACAAAGCCTGGAGGGGGGGCACGCAGCAGCCCCAGTCAGGTGGTGGGAGAACAAGCCACAATTACAAATTTATCACAACAATTAACGCTGAAGCCTGGGAGAGCTGCAGAGTGGGAGGCCCGCTCCTCTTTGTCAGGGTCTATTTGGCGGTGACCTTGCTCTGAAGGCGATGGTATTCCTTCAGCCTGTAAACCAGATGGAAAACAAAGAAAAATGTAATTTCACAATAACAACATGAGCTCTGTTCAATTAATTCAGGCAGGATGGGGGCGGTGGGGGCAGCTGTTTGTTAAGATGTGTGTGAAGTTGTCTTTTTCTTCGGTCCCCTCTCCTGCCCTAGTCTCCCATGGCTCCTCCAATCAGGATAATGTAATTAATTTATCAGAGAGGGAAAACATTGTTTGTCATTGTTGAAGATAAAGCATTTAACAGGCAATAGGAGAAATGAAGAGGCCATTATGTTCTGGGCCATTTCAAAAGGTTTATGAGGTTATAAAACACAGACAGCAGGAGGCAGAAGGTGGAGAGGCTGCAGAGAGGTCTCTGTAGATCTGCAGAAGCTCCAGGGAACCCAAGGCATACTGCCAGAGCAAGGAGAGGCCACCTCTGTCTTTCTGACACAGCCCCAAGAATCAGGAGTTGACAACAGAAAACCCAGAGTTGGTCTTCCCAGTTCGGCACAACCAACTCTTTGTGACTCCAGTCAAGTTACTTAACTATTCTGGGCCTGTGTCTGGGGAACTTCAGAATCTCTTTAAGAATTAAGATAAACTAGGGGCTGGTGAGATAGCTCAGTAGGTAAAAGTACTTGCAGCTGAGCCTGAAGGCCTGAATTTCATCCCCAGGGCCCACATGGTGGTAGGTGAGAACTCACCTTAGAAAGTGTTCTCTGACTTCCTTATATAAAAGCATACACATAAATATAACAAAAATCTAAAAAGAATTAAAATAAACTAGAAAAGAGCCCAGGAGCAGCTGCAATGGTGACCTTGCTTGTGTCTTTGAGCATGCTGGCCCTGGGCAGAGGGCAAGCTGCTGGGCACTGCTATATACCAGCACCTTTAGCTGTGAGCTTGATTCCCATAGGCTCCTATGGTAATTTCACTGTACCTGTGTGGCAGGGGTACCTCCCCCTCCCTTGATCCACCTGGAGCTTGGGAAGGGTCTGAGCCCCCAGGTGCAAGTAACTTCAGGTATTGTATATGATCCCCAGGCCTCAGTGACTTGCTGCCTTGATCTCCAGCTAGGGGACAGTGGCATAAAGATTCTTTTGCACTTCAGGCCATTTCCCCATATGGCCTGTCCAGTCTAGGAGCTCACAGTGTCCTTGTGGCTGGAGGCATTAGGGGAATTGTTAGAGGCCAAGGCAAAATCCAGGGAGTCAAATGTCCAGGCCCCTCAAATTTGGTTAGCTATCAGGCCCTGCTGAGCACAGGAGCTACAGGTGGACGGACAGGAGCATGGTGTGTAAAGGGTCAATATCACATCAGACCCTGCTGCCCAGAGCTGGAGAGCTCTGATGATCAGCACGGCCCAGAGTCTCTCACCTGAGCGAGTTGATATTGATGAAGCCAGTTGCATCAATGGGCTCATAATCGCCCTGCACGTTCATGCTGCAAGGAGAGAGCAAAGCTTAGCAATGCAGGCCACTCCCCCTGCCAAGTCCCTCCCCCACTCAGTCTAATTCCTAAAGCTCTGGGTCAGGCGCCATGCTGGCAGCTAATGGCCAGGTAGCACCCAGAAGCCTCTACCCTGAGTGCAAAGAGGCACCAGGTTGGATCCCAGCTTGGCTAACTCTGGCCCTGTGAATTCCTCCTGACATTCGTAAACTGAGGTCCTCCTCAGAGCCTGGGCCTGAAATGGCCTATGGCATCCAATGCTTACAAACTGGAGCAAATGATAGTCTTTCTGGAGCTGAGGAAGGCTGGGAGGCATCTGCAGCATGGAGCCCCACAGAGTCACCTTCACCCTGCTTGTCCAACCACACAGACCTTATAGTACCCATGGTCTGAGAGTATCTGTCACCTGCTGTTGGACTCAGTAAAGCTGCCCTCCCCTTGCAGCTTTCTTCCCAGCAGCCAGAAGGCAGCCATCCAGGTCTGGTGACTGGGCCTGCCAGCCATCTCAGAGAGCCCAGGGAAGCATGCAGGTTCCTGGGGCTGAATATGGGCCTTGGGAATGTGATTGACATCCCATTCATTCATTCATCCATCCATCCATTCATTCATTTATTCACTCATCTGTAGGCAGACTTTTCAGTTGGGATCACTGATGAGCTCTGTCCTGCCAGCCGCTCCCAAATAACTCATTCAGGCATTTTATTAGGCACTCTTGGGCCAGCTGGACCAGGGCAGAAGAAGCAAGAATAAGACAAGGGCATCATATGTGCCGGGTGGTGGTGTGGTGGCACAGGCTTTTAGTCCCAGCACTGGGGAGGCTGAGGCAGGAAGATCTCTGTGAGTTTGAGACCAGCCTGGTCTACAGAGTGAGTTCCAGGACAGCCAGGGTTACATAGGAAAACCCTGTCTTGAAAAACAAAACAAAAACCAAACAAAGCAAAACAAAAAGGGAGTCACATGCTGCGAGTGCAAACATCACTGTCACCCAGCACCTAGATAAGTTGGGGCCCTGCAGTCTCAGCCACCCTTAACTTCCATGTTACTCTCAATGAGGCCCGTGTCTTTAGTCTGGCACAGTGCCAGCCTCACAACAAAGCAATCTCAAGGGTCTTGAGGACAAGGAGGTAGCCTGTCCTCTGAGTGGGAAGAAGGTGAGAAGTACCTGACACCATGTCACTAAGGCCATGCCTCTGGTTCTCTTGAACACCTACCCCACTATTTTTGATGGCCCTGGGGAATGAACCCAAGGCTTTGCACACTCAAGGCAAGTGTTACATCACCGAGCCACACCTCCAACTCAGTTGTGGACCTTTTCTAAGAATGAATGGGAGCCAGGAATGGTGGCACTCACCTATAACCCTAGCACCAGGGTTGAGAGGTGAAAGCTAGCCTGGGTTAGATACATAGTAAAACCCATCTCTCCACCTTCATCTCCCCCTAAAAAACAAATGAAGTCTCTGTACATGTCCCACAGGGACCCGGGGGTCGGGGGGGGGGGACACACCTGATGATACCAGGAATTGATCAGTGACCAGTGTACTCCCTCAGTGGGAGAGGAGGCCAGGCTCTCACTGGGCTGCTTTCGATGTGCCTATATAGTCAGGAACGACTGCTCTAGACAAGGTATCAACTTGTGCAATATTCAACAAACCTTGCTTGCCTGGGTGCATCTGAGGGTTCTGGGAACACACAAGTCTTAACATCACTTGCTCTCTACCTCCTGTCAAGCAGGTTCTGGGAACACAGCCTCACCTCCATCTGAAGCCCTTGCCTTTAGAAGCACCCTGGAGACAGTTGTGGGAGCAGGCTGGTCGCTGAGCCCTTCCCTCACCTGGGCCATAGGGTGTTCTTTCCTTCACCTCCATGTCTCCCAAGTCAAAACAAACTCTACATCACAATCCTAGCACTTTGGGAGGTAGAGGCTGAAGGACAGGAGTTCAAGGTCACCCTCTTAGACTGAATCTGTGGCAACCTCATCTCAAAAATAAACAAACAAAAACAACAAAACCCTCCCCCATGCCTGTTTCCAAGACAAGCTGGACAAACAGCTCTGGGAGTCCAGCAGAGAGGGCCCTATCAAGGACAGACCTGCCCCATGAGACTGCCTGGAGTCCCAATCGAGCGAGTGGTGCTTGTTTGGGAACGGAAAACCTCTTTTTCAAATAGTGCTTTGGTGTGTGTGGGGGGGTGGGGTGTAGAAACAGAGTTTACAATGGTTTTTTTTACCGCCTCTGACGGTCTACAGAAAAACCTCTGTGCTTTTATTTTTGCTCATTCGAGTGGCTCTGACCTGCTCTATAATTACATTACTTTCTACCTACTGCGCCCGGCATTTCCAGCTCTGCTACCTCTTGCAGCTTCCTCGCTGGTCCCTGTGACGCTGTCACTCAAGGGCTTTCAAGTCAGCGATGTAGAAATCAAAAAGAAAAGGGAAATGGTCGGAGACGCAGTGAGAATAACTGCTTCTGCTTTTCTCTTTTTTTCCCCCCTTTCCCTTTTTACTTTATTCATTTAATCTCCCTGAGTGAGACTGTAAGGTTTAATGAAGGGTTGGGCAGATTATTAGAGGCTGTTCATTTGGAGGGGGAGGGGAGAAAGAGCCAGAGAGAGAAAGAGAGAAGATAATTTGACATTTACCCCGACTGATCTAAACTGATTCGGTTATATTTATGGCTTATAAAGTGTTTAGAAAGATTGAGGTGGGGGAAGGAACTCAACATGGCAGAGAGAGGGGAAGGAGAAGAATAATATTGACTGCCAAACAAAACTCGTACTTTAATTCCAAGTGGTCCCCAGGAGGGCAGGCCTTGCCTGAGCCAGCTGGGACTGGGGTCGGTCCTCCTCAGGTAGCTCTGCCTGTCTCTGTGGGTTTGTTCTCATCCACAGCTTGGCCAAGTGATGCCCAGGGGAGATGGCTGGGCTTCTCAGGGCAGGCTACCCTCCATCACAAGAAAATCTTGTGTCTCCCTTGTCTCCCAGGTCAAAACAAATTCTAGGCATGGATATCGAGGATGGTTAGAACACACCAGCTTAGCTAGCTCACTGTCAGCTATCCTCTGCTTGGTCCTCCCAGAATGAAGCTCCTGGAGGCTCCATTTTGGTTTCCTGCTCATCTCCCTCTGACCTAGGTGGCCTCCTCTGTCCACAACCTTAGAGAACAACAGGCTTGAGATCCTCCAATGTCAACCCATTCTGTACTCATTGCCCCAAAGCAGACAAGATGGTTCTCCTCGGCTATTTCAGACAAGATTCATATTCAAGGTACATAGAGCCTCCCTCAGCACTTACTCTCTTACAGCTGGGGTGTGGATCAGTGGCTGAGCACTTGCCTAGTGAATGAAGCCTCCCTCGGGTTCTATTGGCACCATTGAAGGAAAATGCAGCCTCCCCCTAACTCATGCCCCCTCATCCCCAGGGTGTTCCTGCACCCTGACATCCCCCTCCACATCCAGTGCATCTCCTAAAGATGGGTTGACACCATCTGCTTTTCTGAGATTACCAACCCAGTCTTGCCTGCCAGCATTTTTCACCAGCACCCTTGTGACCACCCCTGCCAGTGTCCACCCTCACCAGAGTGCCTGCCATGAAAACCCATTCTCTATCCTGCCCTTTTCTTTACTGTCTGGCTCAGTCTCACAACTTGGCTTCTTAGTTTCCTCTCTCCCAGATGTCCTTGTATGTCTGAATTCTTCCAAGCCTTTCCTGGGCTCAGAACCAAAGGCACTGCCCCTAGAATCCACCAAACCCTCCAGGAGAACTGTCAAGGAAGCTGCTCCCATAGCCTAACTTTTATACCCAGCCAGACTGTCTCCCTCCTTTTCCATTTCTGCAATTTTTCCTAATTCCACATTTCAGCCTGCCTGCTTCCTTTCTTTTGTTGTTTTGTTTTTTGAGACAGTGTCTTGTGGCCCAGGATGACTTTACCATGCATCAGAAAATGACATTGAACTTTTAATCCTCCTGTTTCTACCTCCTGCGTGCTAGGGTGATGTGCACCACCACACCTAGTTTGTGCAGTGCTGGGGCTGGAACCCAGGACTTCATGTATGGTAGGCAGGCACTCTACCAATTGAGCCACATCCCTAGCTCACAGCTATACCTGTGACTGATACCTTTCTTCCCAAATGGCCTGTTATAGGATGATATGTATCCATCCTAACCATCTCCCAGGTACCCCACATAGAGCTTGACATGAAAGTAACAAGAATGTGCTGGGAAAGCTGCCCAGACAAGACCAGATGGGCTGAGGCACCAGGAACCTACCTCACCAGCTCTTCATTGTATAGTGAGAGTGGAGACTCCCGGCCAAGGATGTACACCTGGCCCTTGAAGACAGACACCTGCACCTTCCCTTCCACCCGCTCCTGGGACTTGTCGATGCAGTGGCGGACAAATTCACACTCAGGGCTGTGCCAGAAACCTGTGGGAAGGAAACAGTGAAGGTGTTGTGGAGGACCCCTGCTGGGCTTCAGGCCAGGACACAGAGATGATTGGGAACACAGGAGGGGAACCCCAGGCCTTACCCTGTGATGGCCTGGGGCTCATGTCTGCCTCACTCACTTGTGAGTGCTGGCATGTGGCACTTAATGAACTGAGGAATCCACTCTTGAGTTCCCATCCCTTAATCCTGCAGGGGATACGTGGGTCAAGAAATGACTCCTTGTCCCCCAAAGGCAATCACTGCTAAGGGTCAGGAGGAGGGGGAATACCCCTGCTTCCTGCACAGACATGTGTAGGGGTCACTGAAAGACCATGGCCCACGAGTACTCCATTTTTGCTGAGGAAGATAGGAATCCTCAGGTAGGGCTCAGAGGTACATGCCACAGGGCTAAGCAATGAGGGTATCCAGGACTGTCACCCTGGTTTGTGGTCAGACAGACCAAGGGGCTCTGTCATCTTCAGCTGTTTCCCGTCCTGCACAGTAGGAATAACACAGCAGTACTGAATGTGGAGCCCTTCTACCCAGCAAGCACGGGTATGTGGCGCTCCTTTGAGTGGTGTCCTAGGAGGGCCCCCGAACTGTTCTCTCTGCTCTGTGAAGATTTACATCAAGTTGGTTTACACAACCTTACAGCCTGGGATGGACAACTCAGAGACTCTGTATTCCCACAGAAGAAGAGGAGGAGGCTCAAGACAGCAAGCGGTTCGTCCAAGCTGACAGAGGCTGTGAGTGGGACCTGGATTTGGCTGGGGTACTGACTGTTTCCTGTGCTTTCCTCTCTGACTAGAGCATCCACCGTTTGCACATGGTGTTGTAAGTACCTGAGAAATTCACTTCCTCCTCCTATAGCCACTGTCCTTGGATAGCCATTCCTTTAGGAGAGAGCAGGAGGGTCCCCAGAACCAAGGGACAGCAGGTGGCTGTAGTCAGGGTTGGGGGAGGGGCAGGCTAGTCACAAAGTTTTTTGAAAGAGCCAGGAAGGTGAACCCACCTGGGCAGCTGTGGGGCCAGATGGCCTGTGATCTACTGCTCTGATAAGAGGGTAAGTTAGCAGGGCCCAGCTATGGTTAGAGGCCTAGAGGGGCACCACGGGGAAGAGGTATGTGTATGTATGTATGTATGCATGAGAGAGAGAGAGAGAGAGAGAGAGAGAGAGAGTGCCCTCTGGCTTGCAGAAATTGGGGAGAGTCAGGCAGGGAGATAAGGCATTAGATCTTTAGCCTCCACCGTCTGGTCATGTTCACATTCCACTCCTACCCAGACCCAGGATACACCTCCTCAGGACTGTCTCCCATGGTACATAGCAAGATGTGATTACTTAACTGCTCTTCATGGATATGTGGATTCAGTGAGAACTTAACTCTACTGTTTAAACACTATGAACTCTAACAGCCCCTCTGTATATAAGGAGACAGGCCCAGAGAAGGAAAGGACCTATCTAAAGTCACACAGCAGGATCATGGCAGATTCCAGGTCTGATGGAGTACTTCTGAACCAGGGACTTCTAAAACACACCACTGGATTCTTTGGGAGGGGACATCCCTGCCACCCCCATCTCTGTATCCTGCCTGCTGTCTGTTTTTCTCAATCAGGATAATTAGTCCATTATGCTCCCAGGATGGAGGCAGGTGGAGATGGAGCTGTAGATAGTAGGAAGGGCAGAGAGCAGTAGGAGCCACTGGCCCCACTTTATCTTGGGATCTGAGTCTATAGCCCACAGGAGTCTCTGGCTCAAGTTTCTTTTCCCAGTGGACCCAGCCTGAAACGGGCCAGTGAGCCTGGTCCCACTGAGCAAAAAGGATACTGCTTGCCCAAGCCTGTGATGTACAGTGGGAGGGGCTTGGGGCTGAGCTGCAAAAGGCTCCCTTCTCCTAGGCCCAAGATACAGGGTCTTTTCTGATGGGGACAAGTGTCCATTAAAGTTGTACATTATTCCTGTTTTCATTTTGAGGACAGGTGAGGGGGCCCCATATCTAATAGGTGAGCTATACCCACCAAATAAGATGCTTCACTCGACTGACCTGGGAGAAGAGAGTATCCCTGAACCCCGTGTAGCCAGCAGGGAAATCTGGAAATGGAGACTGTATAGGGAGATAGCCAGACAGACCCGGGCACACAGAGACAGGGACAATGGTCCTGGAATCCTGTGAATCCAGGAGCAGGACTTCCCATGTCTGCCCTAGTCTCCCCATTTGTGCCCTGAGGCCGCAGAAAGCAAAGTGCTACAGCAAAGTGTGTGTGTGTGTGTGTGTGTGTGTGTGTGTGTGTGTGTGTGTGTGTGTGTGTGTGTGTGTGGCGGGTGGTGGTGGTGGTGGTGCTGCGAACCAGGGATGATTGGTGGGCGGGGAAGAGATCCCAGCAAGTTTTAGGCCTGGCACCTTTGAAATTTACAGGAAGGAAAACTGAGGCTTAAGGAATTAAGACTATAAAGCCAACTAGAGGGAAAGCCGCCCAGCTCCCACACTAAAAAAATCACACCAGTGCTACACAACTGGCAGCACTTGCTGGCACTATTACAGATGCATGGTGCATCCATGCCCTTGGCCCTTACTCTTCAGATAAGAAAGCTGAGGAGCAGAGAGGGTGAGTGACAGCATCCAGCTAAGCTGGGTCTACAGTATGTTTCCTTCCAGGGAGGGACCAATCAAGCAGCACTCTGGACTGCCAGAGGGCTGCCTTTGACCTCTGTGGACACCTGGACATCACAGGACTCAGGCAGAGTTAATATTAGCAGTAACGACCTGGTCTAAGCCTTGCTCCCTGCCTTGTTCCTCTTTCCACTCCAAGATTTTGTTTCCTTTGAAAGCTCCTAATCGCTCAGCCTCATTTTGGGATTTACAGGACTCATTTCTGGCTGACAGAGAAGGGACCCAGCCCAGGCACTGTGCCTGCAATCAGGGCTTCCTCTGCATGTCACAGTACCCCTGACTTGCTAACAGCTTCCTAGGTCTTATGAGAGCGAGCCTTAACCTTGTTTTTGAAGCCAGCCCATCTCAGGCTCCACCACTGTAAATTACCAGCCATAAAACCTTTGATCAAATATCTTTGTCTTCCTTGGCCTCAGTTTCCCCACCTCTGTGCAGCCAAGATTAGATAATACTTATCAGGTGCCTAGCCCCGTGCTAGCAGGACAGCAACAGATGCTGACACAGTGAGACCCAGAAGACCACCCCCCCTCAGCCCTCAGGGATGCCTCCTGGGCACTCAGGCCAGGTGCTCTCTGTTCTCCCACACACCCTGCCATGTCTTAATGTCAATCCCACTTTGTAACCAAAATCCACGTCTAAGCACTGAAATCCTGCCGAGCCAGTAGGAAACAATGATATTTAAACACCTGTCTGTACCTGTAGAGGGGGAGTCTGGGCTCCAGAGCTGCCGAGAACAATGGTAGCAAGAAGGAATGCCAGCCAATCGAGCTACTGTGCTCTCCTGACAGCCTGGGATGAGTTCCAGCAGGCATGGGAAGATGGGGATGGGGACAGGCCAGAGGGCTCAGCCAGGTGGCTATGACTGACTACCCTACCCAGACTACTGGTCTTCAGAGCTGCCTAGGTTGGCTGTAGGTAGCAACCTGTCTTCTAAACTAGCCTGATAGGATCCCCAAGCTATAGGGGCACAAATGTTACAGACAAGATTAGAAAATGTCTCCTGAAAATGAGTGTGTGTGTGTGTGTGTGTGTGTGTGTGTGTGTGTGTGCACGAGCTTGGGGTTAGAGATGCACAACAGCACACTCAGCCCTGTTTTTGTCTCAGTGTGTAGCCCAGGCTTGCCTCAAACTTGTAGATTAGGAGTGCTGGGATGACAGGCTTGTGTCACCATGCCCAGTACCAATGTCATTATTACAGTTGTGTGAGCCTTCAGGTCTCTGCTGAATCAACTCAACTCTGCCACTGCAGCTCAAATAGCTGTCACAGACCACGGGGACATGAACCCTATTTATGGTTTGAATTTCATATAATTTCCCTATGTCATGAAAGTTTTTCCATTTCCAACAACTTAAAAGTTTAAAAAAAAAAAAAACTTAAAATAAGTCCTAGCTCACAAGTTGCAGAAAAATGGGTGGCAGGCTGGGGCTGACAGGGACTATGGCTTAGGACCTCTCAGTTCCTGCTGTGAAGACTGAGGTCTGGGGATCTGGGGCCAGAGCAGGCACTGCTTGCCTGGAAGATATGGTCATCCATGCTGGGTACTCATGTCATCCCCTGCTTGTAACCATTAGAAGTTTAGTAAGGAGCATCTCCTACGGACAAACTAACAGGGTCCCCATATCCCCCCCATCTGCAGACTATCTGGGAGACTTGTTCGAACAATGTAGGTTGTCCATACATCTTTCCAATACCTGGTACCTGTTGGATCAGGCTGGCTAACATTGGGAATGATGCATAGTAATGGATACAATGGAACACCTCTCGAGGTTGGCACGTCTCCTTTGGCACCCTTGAAAAGGCCAATCCCACTGTCCCTTCCTCTCCCTCATCCTGGGTTCAACTTGACACCCTTCCATTTGTACTTCTGAGTTCTGATGATGGTGGTGGGTGGGGCTAGATGAGAGGAAGGCAAGGTTGATGAGAGAGAAAGCCTGAGTCTGAGGGGGAGATGGGGTGGGGCTACGGGGATAGCTGTGATCTGTACATACCCGTGTATACAAGCTCTGCGAATTTGAGGCCCAGGCCCTGCTTGATTTTGCGCACTTCCCGATCCATGGTGAAGGCCTCTATGTCTAAATGAGCGTGGTAAAGGATGGTCCCTGCTGGGGTCTCGTAGATACCTAGCCATTTTTCCAGGCAGGGGGAAAAAGAGAAAAAAAGAAAGAAACACATGAAACCCAAACTGTCAGCAAATGACAAAAAAAAAAAAAAAAAAAAAAAAAAAAAAAACCCCAAAACTGAGCAAAAAAAAAAAAAAAAAAAAAAAAAAAATAATGACTCGTCTGACAGGAGACAAGCCGGTCGGACCCATTCACTCCCAGCTTGCTGCAAAATGCGTCTGTCATTATGTTCATGCTGGGGCCACGACAGTCCACTCTGCGGCTTGTGGAGAAAATGTCTAGATGCCCCCCTTTGAAGAGGCCCTCAGACACGGGAAAATGACAGGGTTTCTGAGCAGCGCACCCCCTCCCCAATGCATGCCCACCGGCCTGCAGTTGAAAACCTGTAATTAAACCAACTACGGTGGAGCCCAGGGCCCCAAATATCCCTTCTTCCCTTCCACCAGGGAGTCAGGGGAGGGGGGACTACTGCATGTGTGCGCGTGCGTGCGCCCACACACACACACACACATGGACATGTAAGTACACACATGTTGTGGGCAGCTCTATTGCTCCAGAGATCACTGGGGTTGCTTAGAGCTTGAGCAACGGCTCCACTGTACAGATGGGGAAGCTGAGCCCTAGAAATGGACTTGAGGGAGAGCGAATGGGACCCAGGTCCCTGGATCCCTGATCGGTGCATCCTGTTGTCTTTTGGGTCAGCTGGCCACAGAAAATAAAGCCCAGGCCAGGGGAGAGGAGGTTGCTTAAGTCCCCCCCATCATCTCACCTAGCTGACCTATTTGCAAAACAATCTGATGGTCTCCATCAGGGTGACAGGGTGGCCCTAGCTGACATGTGAACCAGAAGAAGGTCCCTTCAGCCATACCATGCTGTATCTGAGGCACAGAGGTACCAGGAGGCAGGACCGCACCTGTGCTGGTGCCCAGCCCTGTTCTGGTATTGCCTTGAACAACACCTGTGCCCACTGTCCCGACAGAGGAGGGACAGGAGCAGCACCATTCCCATGAATTTGATCCCAAACTCCCTTTCTTCTCGCCACAGCTGAAGAGGCAGCTTTTCTGTTGTCCTGGCAACTCGCCACCATCTTTCCACACTGAGACTCTGTGCACAAGTGTGTACCAGCACTGCTCACAAAAGCCTGAAGTTGAAGTGACTCAGGCTGTCTCCTGCAATGGCCCATGGACCCAGCCACAGCACCATGCTAGCTAGTCTCCATGTTCTACCAAGCATTGAGGAGGCTGAGGAAGGCAGAACATGAATTCAAGACTAGCCTGGGCTCTATAATGAGACCCTACTTCACAGACAACCAGACCTGGGACTGGTGCTATATTGTACAGTGTTTGCCTAATGTGCCTGAGGCCCTGGTATTGGGTTCCACTCTGGCACTGTATAAACTGGTGTAATAGAACAAGATTGTAATCTAAGTACTTGGGAGGTGGAGGCAGGAGGATCAGAAGTTCAAGGCCACCCACAGCAACTGAGCAAACTCTTGATGGCCTCACGTTTGTGCACAAAACCTCAGCATCATCATTCCCATAGCAAAGTCCAGAGAAGTAGCTCTGGCAGCAACAGGCGGGATGACCAAGAAAAGCCACTGCTGACAGCCTGAGAGCAGGGAGACCACGACCTTAGCAGGGAAGAGCAGGTCCTGGTGGCAGTGTAGAGGCAGGTGTTGGAGGCTGCTAGTTGGAGACCTGCCTGGGTTACAGAGCACGGCAGTGTCTAAAAACAGCAACTAGTGAACTGCAACAGAGAAAACCAGCAACAAATTGGTTGACATACACCCTGGGTTCAGTTCTCAGTACTGCAACCCCCTCCCCAACAATTCCGGTAACTTTTGAGCTGATGTGCTGTTTCCACACCTGTAATCCTGACATTCAGGAGGCTTGGAGGTCAGAGGACCAGGAGTTACCTGAGATTCTGTCTCAAAAAATCAAAACCCAACAACATAATCCTCAGGGCAGATTGAAGCCACTCCCTGGGGCAGGGTGGCTCCACCACCAGTGTCTGTGGATAGCCCCAAGTCACCAGGAAAGGCCCAGAGGCCCAGCAGCCTCTGTTTAGAAAGACAGATTGATGCAGGAAATACCTGCCTCCGAATGGCAGGGATAAAAATAAGGTTCTGTCACCCTAGAACACCAACAACATGACAAAGCCATTTCCCACAGCCTGTGGGTCACCTCTGGACAGAGAAGGCACTAACAATAAGTCAGCACGGGCCTTGTGGTGGTGCATTTTTGTATAGCTTGGAGAAGCCTGTCCTCACATTGGCTGTAGATAGTGGCAGTGGCAGCCTCCTAGGCCTGAGGACACCATGTTTCCAAGTCCTAGGGACCCAGGTGCCCTCTCTGCTTTTCTCTCCTTCCCAAGCCACTAGGGACACAGCCAAGCTGCCTGTCCAGAGCTGGAGTTGGAACCAGAAGTCTTGGCCACTTGATGTTGCATCTGGCTTGATTGTGTGGCCTTTGTCCCTCTCAGCACCCTCTCAGTCCCTCTCTGAGCCCCAGACGGGGACAACAGGAAGTTGCTAAGTGACTGTGCTCTTACACACTACCCTCTGACATACATCTCAAGAGCAAACATGTAGATTTACAACCTGTCCTGACACCTGGAGAGAAACACCGTGGTGTCTCTACAGCATCATCCACAGCAGTCCAGGGGGAGGAGACAGGTGATGTCTAGGGTTCCAGAAAGAGTCACTAGTGGCCCAAGGTACGACAAGTACTGCCCATTCAGGTGTTCCCTGGGAAAATGAAGCCAGCGGCACCAGCAGCAAAGAGTGGGCAGAAGGGCGGGCAGAACCCATCTCTGCTAGAGCTCCCAGAACCAGCTTCATGGTTGTCAGCTGGCAGTAGGAAGGTCACAGGCCTACAGCAAAGTCCCAGCCACGAGACACCAGCACAATTAATATTCCTGATCCCATCTCAGGCAGTGTTGAAGTTAATCATGACTGATCAAAAGACTGGTTTAGCTATCTTTTGCATGTGTATATACCCATATGTTTCAAAGCTCTCCCCTCTCTTGGCAGGGGTGGGGGGTACAGATGATTTCTGTGTATTTTTTCAGGAAAAAAAATTGGTGACAGAAACCTGATTCTAAAAGACTATGGATTTGGGGCTTTTGACAGTCGGCATACAAACCACCTTGCAAAGAGGAGGAAATGACAGCTGAGCTGGCGCTGCTGTGGAATAGACAACAGATATCTTCAGAGTGACATGCACCGCGGCTCCAAGTGTCTATTTCCATCTCCCCGTGTTTACAGGAAAGACAGAGGTGTCAGCAGCCCTCTGTGGAGCAGCTTCAATCACACCCTAATTACCGATAGGAGAGGGCGGGTGGCTGGGGAGGCCAAGAAGCTGGGGTGGTGGGAGGCAGACAGTGGACCAAGAGGTAAAGGTGGGGACCACACAGCTGCAGCAGCTCAAATTCTTATCGGTTCTCAAGACTGTTCTTGGCTTGGGCTGAGAAATGTGGTGGAACAGAACCTGCAGGAGCCAGGCTAAGGGCTAGGGTACTTGGACCTGAGGCTCTGGCATTCAGTGGAAGGGGTCTGGGGAGGTGGATGGGATAGAAGGACGATAGAGGGTAGATTGACTGGAGCCCCAGGGCTCCTTTCTTAGGTACCAGGGCCAAGGCTGGAGGTGGTTGTCATGGTGATGAGAGGCAAGTTAGTGTGGGAGTCTAGGTATTCTCTAGGCTCTTGTGCCCAGGTGGCCCATCCTGTGGATCAGATTGGGTTTCTGAGACTAGCCATCCCTTCCCTGCTGGGCTGATTCTCCTGCTTCACAAGCCTCCTCCTGCTGTCCATCTGTAATGTTCCATAGGAGTACAGCTTCTGGGAGGTCTATATAGATAGGCAGGGGGGCTGGATAAAAGAGCAAGCATGCTACTCTCTTGGAAATGAAGTTTAGGGGGCAAGTGGGAGAGAGAATAGGAAGATGAAAGAAAGAAGGAAGCTTGCAAAGAGAAGAAAGCTGACCAGGTCTGGTGTGGGGACTAACAGCGAGGGAAGTAAAAGCCAGTATGTAGAGAGTGGGGAGGATGAGCAGCCATGGAGTGAAGGCCAGGCCAGGTGGGACAAGGCAGAAGGGGTGAGAGGGCTTGAGAGCCAGGCCAGAGAGGCTGAGGTAAAGGAAATGCAGAGGCAGGCAGGAGAGACAGACACAGCCAGGAGGCTCCTTCCTGGGCTCCCTCCTGCCTGCCTCCTTCTCCTCCCCACTGATTTCATTTACCTCACTTAATTAACCCCCTCTAGAGTTAAAAAGATAATGTGATGTCAAGGACATGAATAGCCACAATAAAACCAAGCCACTCCATCTGAGGCTCCCCCCAGCCCTCAGTCCCTGTGGTTGCCCACAAAGACTTTCCAGCCAGGCCACCCAGACCCAGGGTGCTGATGCCGCTCAATTCCCTATGCTTCTGTCCCCTAAGAAAAAAAATCAGGCTCGTAATGAACGTCAATTACCAGCTTTGTAAAATCAATACAAATGACACCCCCCCCCGATACACCAAGATCCGGAAAACCCCAGCTCTGCTCTGGGCATAATCAAGGATTAACGGTGTTGCTGTCACTGTACATCTAATAAACTCCTCAAGGGGAGTCCATAGTACCCTCATTAATTGTCTGTTTTTGCTTTCTCACAGAGAAATGTTTGGAGCACAGAAATAAAAACAGGGTACCCTAAAATTACCAAGCAGAAAAACTGGCAAGTGAGGACTCCTGGAGAGCTCTCCTAGGCTGGCCCCTTCCATTTGAAGATCGGTGTTTCAGAGATGGAAAGCAAGTTGCCTAAGGTTACACAGCAATTTCCCTCCCTGAGACTGTAAAATCCCGTGTTTTCAGGGACACACACAATATCTTAGCTCTTCGAAGTTAAGTTGATTCTCAGTGGAGATGGAAATCAGGATCAGGACTCAGACTGGGTGTCAAAGGCTTGGCCTTCAACTTCAGGCTTTCACAGATCTACCTCCCCCACCCCCACCACCCCCACCCCCCGGGCCAGCTGCCCCCCAGCCCTGCCTTTTTCTATTCTTCTATCTTTTTTCCATTGTACTTTCAACCAGTTGGGAGCTATTCCATTGTCATCTTCTGCAGGTTGTTCTCCCAGATTGCTGCAGTCTAGGCCTTTCATCACCTCCTTCCACTTATTTTTTCTCCTCCCAGCAGGATGGCATTTCAGAGTCGGGTGTGGCCAACCCTTATCTTCCCAGGAAAGGTACTGCCACTGTTAGGGTGGCAGTACCCACCAGTAGTACTGAGCCTGCATCTGGAGTCAGCAGGACATGGCCACAAACAATTAATGATATCCACCATGGGTATAGGAAGGGTATGATTGGTATCTGATATACCTGAGTTGTACTGGGCCCCAGAGGGCCTGTGGCTGCCTTTGTACTCCCCCAGAATTCCCCAGGGGACTGGAAGCCACTGATGAAATACCTCCACAGAAGCTGTTCATACCATCATGGGTGGATTTGAACCTGGATCTGTCTGTTTCCACAGCCCAGACTTAGACCTCCTCCCCATGCCTCCCTGGCAGATGCCCCTCTGAGTCCTGCTTGTAACTTGCAGTGAGTCCTGGCCCTTTAGGGCCTTGGTTTCCCCATCTGTAAAACTAGGTGCTGGTTTCTCCCAAGGCCCCTTGAGCTGCCTCATAGGAATTGCTTTGTATGGCTCCCAAGGGCAGGTGGAGACAAAGGGACATTTAATCAGATGTTAAATAGGTAAAAGACAAAGGTAGACTGGGAAAGAAGGGAGACACTCATTAGCACATTGTTCTCTACAAGGCCCCAAGAGAGCTACAGTTGTGCACATTCTCACGGGTGATCAATCTGGGAAGAGGCAACTCCAGCTCTGCCCGCCCCAACTATCAGAGACAGACCTAGGATACACTAGGGGAAATTGAGGCCCAGAGATCACCAGTCCAAGATCACCAGGCCAGGTTCTGGGATCTTCATCTGACATCTGACACTTGGGACTTAGAATCTTAATTTAAAAATGTCCCCAAGGACCAAGGCTGAAATTGAACCTTGGTCTGGTTTTATTTGGAATATTATCTCCAATCAACACCAAAACAAAGTGATTTGAAGCCCCTACCAGTGTGTCACTGGTATTTAAACATTCAGGTGCCCAATTCAGGAGCCCAAAGTGCTAAAATGATGTGAGTCCCTTAAAAATACTGCTGCATTGGTCACACTGCACAGAAACACACACGCACGCACGCACGCACGCACGCACGCACGCACGCGCACACACACACATACGCACACACACACACAGGGATCTGGGATGGAGATGCTCAATGGATGGGGAAACTGAGGAGGAAGAGGATGTATAGACAGAAAAACTGCACATGACTGACAGAGAGTCCTGAGAAAACAGAGGCATTTGCCTGGGACCAACCCACATAACCTGGGATCAACTCACCCTCCCCAAGCCAAGAAGGGGATCTGATGGCCCCATGGTGGCAGGCATGCCACAGAAAAGTAGGGACTATCTGTCCCTGGCAAAAAGGCCTTGGAGACGTGCCAGAACTGGTCTGGCCTGTCAGGGCTCCTGTGTGCAGCTCACAGCGCCCTCCCTGGCAGGAGTCCCACTCTGCTGCCTGCCTGGTGTTAGAGAAATGCCTTAATGACCACGAAATTGGCCCTGCATGGTCCGCCTCTTAACCTGGCTGGCCCGCCTGTGACACAAGCCAGCCTGACCTCTAGGCCGACCTCTCTCCTAGATCCTTCCTCACTCTAGAGGCAGCCCCTCTCACAGCACCCTGGGAAGTCAGGGGCAAAGGCTACAGTCCCAACTTCATCGCAGTCCTCACTGCATGGGGTATAAGAGAAAGAGGAAAGCCATGGTGGCATGGGGTGAATGGTGACATCCAAATGGTACAGGTGTTTTGGGAGGTGCCAAAGCAGGTCCCCAGGGGCTGCTGAACACACTTACCCCGGGACTTCATTCCAATGAAGCGATTCTCCACGATGTCAATGCGCCCCACTCCGTGCTTGCCCCTGGGAAGGAACAGGTCACTTGGACTCAGGTGCTACCACAAGGCTTGGGGACAGGGGCCACCCACTGAGCAAGTGGCTTTGGCTTGTCTAAAAAGCTACTTATGGGCATACCAGCTCTGTCAAAAACTCTAAAACTCAACTTAGAGAATACCCGAGCCAGGGAAACAGGCCCAAGAAAACAAGTGGGTGAACTAAGGCCCTGAAAAAAAAAAGGGGGACTATCTGGGTCACACTGGGTGCCACCTGCTTTACCTGTTACCTCTGAACTAGGACTTGCCTGGCCCTAACCATCACTAAGATTGTCTTTCTTTGTGTCCTAATGGCTGCTTCAGCCTAAGGCCTGGAGCCCCAGCTGGGCAGACCATAGGAGGTAGTGGGCGCCTCAGAGCTTTTATCTTCATGGGTTGTGGGCTTAAATAGACTACCAGGATTCTCCTGCCAAACCAACACGATCCAGGAGACTCTCTGTCTACAGGGCCAAAATAGCCAGACCTCCAGGTTGTGAACCTCAGCTGTGACCATTAGTCACACTGACCCAAGCCAGTGCTTGTCGGAGGTGGCAGTCCTGGGAGACTAGACAGTCTGTGGACACTCACGCAACTTCGTTCAGGTACATGAAGAGCTCCAAGGATGTGCGATGGGTAGTGCCATCTTTGATGTTGGTCACCTTTACAGGGACCCCTGGGGAAGAAAGAGAGAGCATTGGGCCTCCAGACTGGGGCTCAGCAGAGCAGCCTGTGCCCACCACCCCACCCTCTCCCTCCACCCACATCGCCTTAAATGGATGTGACAGATATGGAGTCCCAATGACTCCTTCAAAGCCCTATGCTGGGGGGAGAGAAGGGGCGAGAAAGCCCCCCAGAATGAAAGGGAAAATGCAATAAAACGCTCGCCCCCTCCCTCCCATTCTCTCTGCCCCTTTAGCATTTAGGGGCTGTGAAATTGGAACCAGGCCCTGAACTAATTGAATTTCACGCTTCGCCATTGTCTTACCAGTGAGCACCTTCTGTCCCCACCAGCTACCCGGGGGCCGCCTGGCCGAGGTGCAGCCAAACCCTGAGAGTGCGCACAGGCGTGTGTGCACACGCGTGCACACACACATGCTTCTAAGCAATGCTCTGCCACACTTGCCAGGTGGGCAGAGACCTCTCAGCCCCAACCTTGCATCCCAGACCCTCGGAAAGCCACCTGATGGATGAGCTGGGGTGGTGCCCACTCCAGGAGACACCCATGAA